TCTGTGGTCTTCACTGCATGTCTCTCACAGGAGAAAAATGCCATGAAAGGCATAAGCACCAACCAATTCATGAGTAACATCAAAGCTGTTACGTCAAAATTGACGGATTGTCAATCCCACACACACACACACATACATATATATGTCTGTGTGTATGAACACACATTTATACATACATACAAATATATCACTTTGGGAATAACAGGAAATATTTGGTAAATAGATGGCAGATCAGTGAGTGGGAATAATAGCGAAAAGGCAATGATTACTAGGCGGTACAAAGGACAGATCGGTGAGTGGGAATAATAGAGAAAAGACAATGATTACTAGGTGGTACATAGGACAGATCGGTGAGTCGGAATAATAGCGAAAAGACTATGATTACGAGACTGTACAAAGGATAGATCAGTGGGTGGGAATAATAGCGGAAAGAAAATGATTATTAGACGTTGCAAATGACAGATCAGTGAGTTGGAATAATAGCGAAAGGACAATGATTATTAGGCGGTACAAAGGACAGATCGGTGGGTGGGAATAATAGCGAAAAGACAATGATTTTTAGGCGGTACAAAGGACAAAATCGGTGGGTGGGAATAATAGCGAAAAAGACAATGATTTTTAGGCGGTACAAAGGACAAAATCGGTGGGTGGGAATAATAGCCAAAAGACAATGATTATTAGGCGGTACAAAGAACAGATCGGTGTGTAGGAATAATAGCGAAAAGACAATGATTATTAAGCGGTACAAAGGACAGATGAGTGTGTGGGAATAATATATAAAAAGACATATTATATATATATATAGATCGGTTTATAATATATATATATATATATATATATATATATATATATATATATATATATATATATCTATTTAATATATATATATATATATATATATATTAGATAGAAAAGTGTTTATTAATAAGGTGGAATATATATATATATATATATATATATATATATATATATATAAATAGATAGATAGATCTACAAGGGTTGTTTAGAAACATAGGCTAAGAGGGAGCAATTCTAGACTTGTGAAATCTTGCCTGCATTAATTTCGACTCGTTTTATTTAATAACAATAATTAATACATGATTGTTCGCAGAAGACTTCAAAAGTAACTGATTGCGACTTCCCTTGAACATAGACAAAATTTTTCCTCGTCGTTTTATAAAGTGCCGGCTGAAAATGGGTTTAACCCCCAAGGCCATATTTTGCTATATTAGAGGATGACGCGCCAACTTTATCAACAGTGCAAATATGGGCAGCTTAATTTAGAAGGGAAATAAAAATGACCCAAGGTCTGGACATCCTGCATTGGCCACCAACGAAGAAAACATTGATCGTGTTCATCACATGGCGACCGATTAAAGGCACATCTTGTAAGTTAGTTGATAATTTTCTGCACATTGACATGAAATGATAAAGGTTTGTGTTGTGGATCACGTCTTCTGATACCTAGTCAACTGCTCACCAGGGTGATTACATCATGGGAAATTGGGGTATTTGAGGCAGCTGGATTCAGTGAGCTTTTATTCGCCCAGGATACGTTCAGCCAGATGCAAAGAAACAATCCATGTAGTGGAAACACCCCTCTACGCCTGCTCCAAAGATTGTTTTATTCCCGGGAAAGGTGAATAGCCTTTTTTATTTTGGGATACAAAATGCATTGAGTATATGGAATGTTAATAGGAATATATATTCTTGAAAAACAAGGTGGATAAAATAAGTAAAGGTTTATTGTAAAAAACCAATACAATAAGAATAAAGGTAACAGTTATGCACAAGGACGTTGCAAGTCAATCCAGTAGTTAGTGCTACTATTGGAAGGTCGGTAGTTCTCGCGTATGTCGTACTCAACAGATCCCAGCTTGTCGTCTGTTGACTTACAGATACTTATAAGCAGTTACTACCTATATTGTAGTCACTCATGGTGTGACAGGTTATTCCATTACATCAGATATATATATATATATATATATATATATATATATATATATATATATATATATATATATAGATAGATAGATAGAGAGAGAGAGAGAGAGAGATCTGAGTAAGGTGGGGTGAAAAAAAAGAAATATATGAATTCAAATTGAACGATACATAGACTGAGATCGATTGATAGGTACGAATATGATGAGGCACACATAAACGTAAATACTTAGATTGCTATTGAAAATCTCATTATGGACTTTTACACGTGGCTTAGATGAAATTAAATTTCTTTCTTTCCTTATTCTTTTAAAAAAAATATAGAAGCCAACTTTCACACAAGTAAATACAGTAATTTAGTCGCCGAGTACAAAGGAGCGACGCATAACAATAAAATAATCCGAAAACAAAAACGTTTTCTCTACCATCTGAAAAGAAAATCATTAAATCTCATAGATTCGAGAAGCCATAGCACACATTTCTGATTTACTTATCGAAGTTCAAATCTCGAAGTTCAAATCTCGTAAAGGCGAGATCTCTTCCAGGATTTTCATCTCGG